GATAATACTTTGCAAGCCAACGTGCCACTCCGTAACCTGATATATGCGTGTCAGCATCACTTTCGAAATTACTGAGCCAACCAACTATGCAACATCTGATTGAATATTGTTTCCTCAAGCTCAGTGACTTATAAGTTGAGTACTATTTCCCCCCCCTTTCATGTCTCTGGATACCCTCGGGGGCTATGCAGGCTTCGATTGGACTCAATCCTTGTAACATGCATATCGTTTCGCCCTGCTATAGTGAGGACAGAGGCTAGTAATACCACCGTCTTTTTTTTCATCACTTTTCGGGAATATCGCCCCCATTTGGGACTCCAATCCAATTCGCAGTGAATTTTCCGAGAGCGTCAATCAATTTGGAATCTGCGCTTTATTACATACAATTCGAGCCACCTGACATAAAGTCGTGAGGTATACATAACTGGTTGGGTTACTATCTCCGCTCCGGGAATGCCTATACGACTACCATCATTTGGCCATAAGACGGTCTTGTCGACGTATGTCCACAAGTCCTGCATGTAGGCTAGTCTACTCGTTTAACAAAAGACTACCTATCGTACCAATCTTTATGTAGCCAACTGGTCATGCACTTGGAAGAGATAAGCGTAGATGCCCGACTAATCGTCCCTAGGCTTCGAGTCTTCCTCGGGCGACCACCCGCATTAGACAGTATAGGATATCACATCAAATTAGACTATCCAAGTCTCATCTTCTAAAACTAGATATATACGAACCTTTAGCTAAGCCTTTGTATCTTTTTGGTTCTCGTTACCAGGCTTGTATAAGTAGTTCTTGAAGCCTGTCTATGGCCATAACTTCAAATCAACATACCGTTTTTCAGAGTTCTACGCATGGCATCATTCGGAGAATTTGATAGCCACATGTATTTTCCACTTCCCCCCCCCCCCCCCCCCGAGGACCCAGCTTGTCAATATTTTCGAAACTGACCCCAACGCACAAGGCCGTCACGGGAGCATACACGGACTGATACATATGTACCCGGATGGGTGGCTACATCCCTTCTAACGGAGGCGTTCTATTCGCATCCGAAAAGATAACGTGGTACATGCTACATTACTCATCACTTTACGATGACACAAGGATACGATAGTAGTTTAACCCCCTTTCTCATCTTAGCCTTGGGGAGAAACCTGATAGAAAGTCATAATTGGAAGAGACAGTATGAATTCACGCAAACATGCACAATGCAACATACATAATGAGCAGTTAACTTCAAAGGAATGATACTGTGTATTACCGCAAAGAACTTACCAACTATGGTTACTGTATTCGCTCATCGAATACCGAGACCATAGTCACAGCAATATACGGCCACGGCATCTGGACCGTCTAAGAACATGAGGTAAACTCGGTCATCTCTAGTAATGTTTCACGTGCCAGTGTTGAACTATGAGCACGTCAAGGCCAGATCTAAGGTACGCCTAGATATATCTCGATACATGCAAATTAGATCTTGATTCATAAATGTCCCTTGAATAGCTAACCAATGGAAGGCAAAACATCCTGCGAGATCCCTCGCCCCTTAGACCAACCCTGTGGTGTAAGGACCTACCTGTAAGGACCCTTTCCAACCGACCCATTCACCAAGAGGACTAATCCCTGGCTAATGCAGGTAACCATTGACACATCCAGCCAAACAATCTAGATCTATCGTGACGGGATCGCCATCGGCGGAACTCGATCCTTCGATCACAAGTGGCAAATAAGCAGCTATCGTGGACCTATAAGGCGTGTCTCTCAGCTGTAAGATCGCGAGGCGCATCGGGAGATGCACCAGATCCAAGATGCGCTCGAGAGGGGTCGTACCTGGCAGCATATGTAAGGAATCTCCCACACGTATGCTCTCTTCGAATGAAACATCCGACCACGCCGCCAGGCTGGGACGGGACGGGAGCTATCCTATCAGAGCTATGAAAACAAGTCTACATAGGTCATAGGAGGTATGCATGTATTTCGAGGCTTGGGAGCATAGGATACCTACCTGCCTTCCCATGCGGTCTGTCGAGGTGTATATATATATGTATGGTATATTATATATGTGTGTAAGGGACCACGGGCACATGAGGCTGGTAGACCCTGGCTAATGTTGTCTAGCAATGGCCACTGGCATGTGTAAGTAGCCGAGCCGAGCAAATAAATGTATTAGCTAGATGCGGTAGGTCGTGCCTCCCACCGACGATATTCGACTTATCTATTATTCATATGTTAAAAGCTGAAGGTATTCATAAAAGGGTAGTCAGGTGACTGGGTTACCTATACACTAACTATATATTAGGTTAGGTAGTATTTATTGTTAGTATCTCTTATTGATTTTCTTATGTATTGGGCCCTTTCTAACCTTGTGTAACTTGACAAGTCTAGAATATCTCTTGTCATATTTACACTATGTACGCTTTTGAACGACTAACAAGACCCTAACAAGCAGCTAACCTAGGGTAGAATCTCTCTTAGATATTGGCCACCCAATGCCCCCGATATTAGCAATTAGCTTAAGACAATATCACGTGGATGGGTACATATGTATGACTGCTGCTTGTGGTAACTTCTACGTATCAACAGCTCAGACTAAGACAAGATGGACAAAAGGTTGAGTAGCACAAAGTTCAGGGAGCATCCGCCGCAAAAGTGGGGTGACAAGACTAACGTTCGACCCTAAGACTTTATGGCACCTTATGGTCTGAATGTTAAGGATGATTGGACGAGGATGATCAATTATGTACATAAAGACACTTGGGAAAACCCTTGATTAGCTCTGATTAGCTCTGATTAGTCCAAGTTAGGTTTAGTTCGTGCAGCTCGCCACGCGGGTGTACATACATATTACCGCACCCAACAACTAGGTTAGGTACCTGTACTGGGGTCACTACTGCTGTAACTGCTGCAGGAAGTCAAGAAAAAGAAAAAACAATCTTCACCGCAAATATGGGTACACACAAATCCTGTCTCCTTTCCATATTCCACTCCTGTGCCACCTTGAGGACCGTTGCTCAAGTACTTTCTTTCTTTCTTTCTTTCTTTTTCTTTTCTTTCCCACTCTTTAATTTCGGAGGAGTGCATTGGAAAAGAAAAGAAAAGAAAAACTATAGAAAAGGGAAAAGAGAGGAAAGGAAAGGAAATAATAACAATGGCGCCCCCCTCGTCGTCTTCAACCACGACCAGCGCCCCCGAGGCACCTAAGCTGCAGAAGACAATCCGCCTCAACGGTAAAGGCGGGGAGAAGGTTCAAGATGGATCCCCGGACCTACAGCGAGACCCGATCGAGGTCAAATATCGTGACTTCTTTTGGACTTACACCGAAGAGCCCCATCGGACGAGACGTCTAGCCATTATCAAGGCGCATCCCGAAGTGACCAAGCTCTGCGGCCCCGAGCCCCTCACCATCTACGTCGTCCTCGGCGTCGTCGCCCTACAAGTCTTCTGCGCCTACGTCCTCCGGAATACTTCCTTCTTCTCGCTCCCCTACTGGCTTCTAGCCTACGTCGTCGGCGCCACCGCCAACCAGAACTTGTTCATGGCCATCCACGAGATTAGCCACAACTTGGCTTTCCGCTCGCCCACCGCCAACCGGCTCTTCGCTATCATAGCCAACCTACCTATCGGCATCCCCTACAGCGCCTCTTTCCGCCCTTACCACTTAACGCATCACAAGTCCCTGGGTGTCGACGGCTTAGACACCGATCTCCCCACCGCCCTCGAGGCCATCTTCCTCGACTCCATCCTCGGCAAGGCATTCTTCTGCACCTTCCAGATCTTCTTCTACGCCGTCCGCCCCATGTGCGTGTACAGCGTGCCCTTCACCTGGGTATCCGCCACCAACGTAGCCGTGCAGGTTGCCTTCGACATCGTGATCCTCAAGACCCTCGGCATCAACTCCATGATGTACTTCCTGCTATCCTCCTTCCTGGCAGGTAGTCTGCACCCCTTGGCGGGCCACTTCATCGCCGAGCACTACGTCTACGAGACCGTGACCCCCTCCCAGAAGAACCCAGAGAACCGAGTCCCCGTCCCAGAGACGTACTCGTACTATGGCCCCCTCAACTTCCTCGTGTACAACGTCGGCTTCCACAACGAGCACCACGACTTCCCCGCCATCCCCTGGTCCAGACTTCCCGAGCTCAACCGTATCGCTAGCGACTTCTACACGGAGCTCCCGCACCACCGCAGCTGGACCTACGTTCTCTGGCGTTTCATCTTCGACGAGAGCGTCGGTATTCGGTGCAGGGTGAAGCGCAAGGAGGGTGGACGGCTCGTGGGCCAGAAGACTGATTGGAAGAAGAACGAGCTCGAGGCTTAGATGGTTGGACACGTATCTACATAAGTCATGCGTGCTAGCAATGGTATGGTACACATTGCTTAATTTACCTGGTTGGGAATCGTGTATATTTGATGCTTAGGCCGAATGTCTGAAGTATGGATTCGGCGTTGGGTTGATGCGGTCAGAAAAGGGTTAGATTCATCAATACGATATTTAATTACCTTGAAGCAATTCGACTCCCAGTCCCTTAAGGATTTTACCCCGTCACAGTGGAAGAGATAGCACGTAACAATGTAGTTTACCTACGTAGGTACCTAGGTAATATTTGAACGCGGTACATATGTAGCATCAGTGTAGGTATAAGCCAAGGCCGGATCGCCATCAACAAAACAAGAAGATCTCGAAAACAATCTTATATACGGAAGCTCCGGGTGCATAAAGAGCTAGGCTAACCCCGGGCTTGAGTTATTACGACGATCGCCCAGGGATCGTAATCAATTTCAAGCGAATATATATCCGAATGCTTATACCTTGAACAGCCAACGGAAAACAAAGGGGAATACATGCTAAAGTACAATGTCTGCCACAACAAAGGCCAGCTTAGATCCTTCGTCTCACTTCCGGCCATTCCACATAAGAGGGGGCCTGACTTCTCATCCACCTCCTATTACTTCTCTTCGCCTACCTAAGGTATAGTCTTCTTCACGCCTAATGCTTTCCTTCTAGTAAGAAACCGGTTTGCCAATGTCCCAACCATAACGGGATTCCTCAACCTCTGCCCTGAAAGAATCTGCTAGAACACCCTTGACGCAACTTAAAAGAAGAGATACGCAAGCATGAAGCTCAGGAAACAAAGGATCGCTGCAAGCTTGATTGGTACACCTTCAGTGCCTGCTGGTGCTGCCTGAGCTAACGCGGCAGGCTTGGAGCTGGCCTTGTCCGTACCCGCCGTCTTACGCTGTCGTAACCCTTCCTGGTCTTGCTTAAGTTGTACGATTACCTTTTCGGCTTGGATAAGTTGTTGCTTCAGTTCGTCAGGGCTTAGGTCGCTGTTCTGGGTGGTCGCAATCGCTGCCACACCTGCGGTTGCCGGGAGCTCCTCGCGCTTGATCTCGTTCTCGTTCTTGGCATCTGTTTGGCTAGTTGAATAGTCACCGGGAGAGGAGTAGGCAGGAGGGGCCGCATCTGGTGTTGCCTGAATTCCCAAGGGGTGTTAGCATGGCAAAAGAGTATCGCGAAAACATGAATGAACTTACGCCGTTGGCTGCGGCAGGCTTGACGGGCGTCTCAAGATGACTGGTACCAGTAAGAGCGCCTACAGGAGGCATGAAGATAACCCGAATCTTCTTCTCTTGTATCGCTGATTTCTCAATACCGTCCCACTTTTACTTTAGTCAGCTAGGTATTCGGTATAGGGGATATTTGTAGTCAAGTGGCACTAACGATAGCTGCTAGGTTGGCGAATTCCTTGTCTCCAGTGATCGGGACCGACTGGACTAAGAATTTGTCTCGGCATTTCGTGTCAGCAGGGGGTTCCTGCTTCATGGCCTGGAGAATGACTATGACTTGTTAGTATAAGGTAATCATCTTATATCCAACTTGCTAATACGCACCTGAAACTTCCACCTCTTTGCCAGGCTCAACCCGGCCAGAGTTAGGTCTGACGCAGTACCTTGATTGAGAAAACTATCAGTATTGTGGCGCTATGGGTTATATAATTTATTGTATTGGATATAGGGGGCGTACTGCTTCGGTGCGGTAGTTTTCACCTGTAATTTGTTAGCCAAGTCTAGTCAGGGGTTCCGCAAAAGGTTGTGAATAATGTGCCATACCTTGAAGGCTACCGGGTGAGAATTCGGGTTTCTGATCCGTAAGACTTCCGAAACTTCCGCCGTGAATGGGCCTAGAACAACCCGTGAGTATATGGATATATGATAGCAGTAATGCGATGCCGGGTAAGGTTCATGACGCACGATGGAAGCCAAGCTCCTGAGGATCGATCTCAACAGACATGATGCTAGTGAATATGTGTGGCGTATACACACTCGAAGAGTAGTATTAGGTAGATATGGGACGAGTGTCGTGAAATGCTGCACTAGAAAGCAGATTAATAAAAAAAAAAAAAAAAAAAAAAAAAAGGGCGCCCGGAATTCGTTGGAGTGCGATCGGAATCTGGACACTTTGGCACGTAAGCACCTATCGAAGAAGAAAAAAGATTATCAATAAAAAGATTTGGCTGCGACTCTAAAATTATCGAAAGTGAGTCAGTAACGTGGGCTTTGGTAGAATTAGAAAAGGTAGTTAACTGTGTTCGGCGATCAGGGAAGAAACGTTGAAGATGGAAATCTGGCTGAGATGGGATAAAAAGCACGGACAGTAGTGGTGTTGTCGTAGTTTGTCATGTTACGACATAGCACTGGCTTTGACTGGGTCCTGTCCGACTGCCTGGGAGCCCTGGTTTCTATGGCATCTACGTAGGTACCTACCTACCTATGTATTATGGTGTTGTACAATACTATGTATTGTACCTCATGTAAAACACCACAAATTTGGTTTAGCGCACTTTCTAATTCAGCTTAGTCTCGGCTCAGCCCTTAATTTTACATAATCTTCCCATACCGTTTCTAAATTTACCGTAACAAATGGACGGGACAGTAGTCATTTTTATAAAATCATTTCGCATTTTATTAGTATTTAACACTGCTGCTTAATATTATCGACCTCCTTAAAACAGATCTCGAGAGGCTGACCCATGTTCTGGGCACCTAAGGCTGGACTAACTAGCTAAAGCATACGTAACCTGTGCTCAGATTTTGCACAATGCAAGGTACGTAGTAATATCAGGCAAGAGTTAAACAACTTGAAGCTGTAAACATCTCGGCAGTAGTATTCCCCTCTCAGAGCCAATAGACACAAGCCTTTTCCTCCTCCTAAGTGCAAAATTTGTCGCAGTCCATCAGAGTGGAACAATGGAGGTACTTCATAGCAGGTTTCATGGGTTTGTTGACAGAGCCTCCACCCAGCAGCGGCAGGCCAGATAATGGGGTCTCCTTTGCTGAATGAGATATGCTGCAGCCTTGCGTTATCGTGGTGGGTATAATTGCATAAGGTTGTGTCTTGCAGAATCTCTAACTAGACATATCTAGTGCTGCACGTTTTGGTGGTGCATGTCTTGGGCGGCGGGCGTCTGCTATGACGGGTCCATGGAGGATAATGTGATCAACAAAACTCTGCTCAGTGTATTGCTTCCGGAAATGTGTATCGGCTTCTTGAGAATCGCTGCATCCAAGGCAATATAGGCCCCATTTAGCAACTTTGGAGGGGGGGTTCGAATTAGGGACGGATTCCACATAAGGGGCAGAGACGATGGCCATGAACCGATGTGGATTGTTGTGTATACGCTCGTTTCTCTCAGAGGTAGGAGCCGTGGTGGTTTGGATGGATCGAACAGTTTCCCGGTCCCATAAGGTTACCCGATTTTGACACATTACCCCATTGGCGGCATATCGTCCCTGGACGCTTCGAATATGTGGCAGCTGTTCAAGCTCCTTCTTCGAACAGCCGGTAACCTCACGTGCATATTTTGCAAGCATGGGACAGAACCGGTGCTCATTGGCAAAGCAGACATAACAGACTCGTAAACAAGTGATAAGATAAATATATCCACCGATGTTTCCGCATGAGACGCAATGCTTTTCACAGAGCGTTTTGTGCAATGTTGCAAAGTCAAAGTGCTTAGCTCCCAGGCTGACGATATCGCGGATAATGCGAGGGCAGAATTGATTGACCATTCGGTATTCAGGGATCCTGTCGACTACCGACATAAAGCTTCTATTAACTCGTCGCAAGGCAGCTACCGAAATAACGTCGAGGTGGAGAACCACATTGACAAGAGTTTCCGTAGGCAGAATGTTCAAGTCTCCCCGGGATCCTGTTGATTCTGTTGATTCTGTTGATTCGATGGCATGTTGGCCATTCTTGGTACGTTGGCCATTCTTGCGAACACAATGATAAATATCGCTGACGGTATTGGCTTCCAGTCCTATCCATTTACAAGTCCATTTCTCGATGAGTTCGGGCGTAATGGATTTTGCGTTCTTAATGGGTTTTGCGTTCTTAATGGATTTTGCCTTCATAATGAAAATTGGTTGCCGAAAATGACAGTCTATTTGCACAGAAGATGCTACCAGTCTAGACTGTTGGTTTTGTAACGGTTTTGAATAAATATTTAACCTAGATATTTTACTACCGATTGTGCATTTTATAATGGCATATCTACGGAATGCGCTAACATTTGAGGTAAGCACGAGCCAACCGTTATGCTTGAAACACACAGTTTAAGGTTCTTGCCATGAAAAAGATAAATTCAATAGGTTATGTACTTTCCGTACATTCATACGGTTAGGTACCCACCTTCTTATTCACAAGACACAGTGCTGCATCTGGAGACTCCTGCATCTAGTTTGAGGCAGCATCTAAAATGACGTGCCACTAAAGAAACCACAGTGAGTTAGAAGAAAAGTCATGCTTATTGCATTCACAGCTTGCATTTACAGTTTCTATTAACTTCCCAATCTTCCAGCTCCAGCCGAACACAAATTCACTAAGTGCGACATATAAATAACCTGTCACTACAACTTTTCCTAGCCCCATTTATTTCCCACCAAACAACTTACAACAACACATCCTCTTCACTTAAGCCCAATCTTCACTGTATCCTAAAACAGCATCGCCCAAGATGTCACAATCCGTGCTCGAGCAACTCCTGGAGATGGGATTTGACAAATCACGTGCCGAACTGGCAGTGAAGAAATCCGACGGGTGTGAGTATCTGCGTTTAATCACATACTACTAGTCGATATGGATAACTGATGATGATCTGTCTTAGTGCCGGATGCCATGGACTGGCTGGAGAAGACCCAGGATACCCCATTGGATGAGCTTCTTGAGGAACAAGAGTCTGGCGCCAACATTGCAAAGATAGATGAAGGTGCAGTCGCAATGTCACTTGTCTGCAACGAATGTGGCAAGAAGTTCCGTAGTCAAGGAGAGGCTGAATTCCACGCCAACAAATCGTGAGAGCTGTCCTATCTCTTTGTGATTATACATTATTATTATTTTTGTTATTATTATTAAACTGACCTCACTTTCAGGGGTCATACCGACTTTGCTGAGTCTACTGAGCAGATTGCTCCCCTTAGCGAAGAGGAGAGGAAAAAGAGACTCGAAGAGCTCCGAGAGCGTGTTAAGGCTAAGAAAGCCGGCAAAGCTGCCGAAGAAAAGGAAGAACAGAAGCGCAATGATGTACGTCTAGCTCGAGAACTCGATCGGATCACGGTTCCCTTGCTAATAATCATTTAGAAAATCCGCCAAAAGGCTACCAGAGAATCACATGAGCTTAAGGAGGAGCTCCAGCGCAAGGAGCAGATCAAGGAAGCGGCCAAAAAGCGACAGGAGAAGCTCGATGACCTCGAGGCTAAGAAACGTATCAAGGCTAAGATCGAAGCTGACAAGGAAGAACGTCGCCGCAAGGCAGAACAGGCAAAACTTGCAAGAGGGGAGTCGGTCCCAGTTGCAGCCCCAGCCCCAGCACCCGCTCCAGCACCTGCTCGTCCTGCCGTTACTCACAATGAAGCTCGACTGAGATTGCAAACTTCTAATGGCAACGTCATGAAAACACTCCCGGCAGACACAACACTTTTCGAAGTCAAGCAAATGCTAGAGTCGGAGAATGGACTTACCGTTACCAAGTTCGTCCAGAACTTCCCCAGGAAGGTCTTCGAAGGGAACCTTGATCTTGGTAAAACTTTGAAGGAGGCTGGTTTAGTTCCTAGTGCTGCTTTGATTGTACAATAAGCTACGAGGGGGGATAGGGGGCTGCATAATTCTCATGAATAAATGAATAACTTGGCGTTCGGCCCTTGCTTCGGAGGATAATATACGGGCATATTATGGAAGTAATGATGAGCCGGTGCAGACATAAGCAATCTACGAAGATTGCCTGTATGCGACTACTACTAGAGATCACTGCATTTATTTCCCGAAAGTCACATCCGAGGCTATGACTTAATCTCACATCGGGTTACGCAACGAACAATGAATCATGAACAATTCACAGTGTAGTAGACTTGTAAATTCGTCTCTCATGGCTTCATCTGCAAAGCCAATTGTCATATTAACCTATGACAGGGTAAAGGTCGCCCATGGCATCCTAATATTGCCCCCTTCACGCCACACCAATGGTGTATGGAACCCCAGAACCATGCAGTGAAAGTACAAAGGGAAGGTGAGTATTCGTCATCGCGGAACGTGTTTAATCGAAAAGACCGAAACCCATGTCCTCGTCCGACTCTTCCTTCTCTGCATCGGGAATTAGTATAAACCTGCTTTAAACCACGCTGTGGGTATGGGGAATAGATTAAACATACCCTCTTCCTTCTCCTCTTCCTTGGTCTCCTCGGCAGCAGCACCAGCACCACCGCCGGCGGCAGCAGGGCCACCAGCAGCGGCGGCACCGCCGGAGCCAACGTTCGATAGCAGGTCCTTTACGTCCTTGCCCTCGAGAGCCTAGAATCGCATGCATCAGCAAATATGGTCATTTCCTCGCGCAATCGGTTATTCGTCGTACCTTGGAGAAGAGTTGTGTCCAGATAGGCTCGACATCAACGATCTTGGCAGCCTTGATCAAGGTTTGTAGCTTGTCGGCCTGCATATCCGTCGTTAGTATTCTTATGAACGAAGTCATATCTATATTCCCAAACCCCACGCCCAAAAGAGCTGTAGGAGGGGTACGCGGCGGTTGCTCACAGTGATCTCAACACCGTCATCGGCGAGAATGAGCGCCGCGTACGACGAGGCAAGTTCGGCAGTCGACATTGTTATGGATGTGTCTGGGTGCGAATGTGGTGTTGGATGGGTAGAATTGTCGATCGGTAGCACACCTCGAAGATGTTGATATTGGATTTGCGCTCGTGAAATTATTAGCGGAAAAGTCACATTCAATTCGCAATGCGAAATTTTTGGTGGGAGGAAGATAGGGCTAGCACGGAAGGAAAATAAAGATTCCGCTTCGAGGAACGGTCTGTTTTGATTGGCTGATTATCAGAACCAATCAGAGCTTAGACCATCTGCCCCGCAAGATCATCGGGAAACTTTACGCTTTGCTTCGTATGAGGTAAGAGATACATTCACTAGGTACATTCACTAGGTACCTACCTTGTAGAAAGCTTATGATGAGCACACGACCCCACCTGCCCACCTTGGCCTTAAAGCCCACCTTGGGCTCTTCCTCCCTCAGCAGTGTCCGTCTTTCCCAAGTAAACTATCCCCCATCAATCAAATGCAGTAGTAATCAAGGCCCTACTACGTAGAAAACTCCAATCACAGGCGCCTGGAGACATAGTTTTAGGAGACACCGCACCAAGGGCAGTTTCAGAAAGCTCTGACAAGTTCCCCCAAACCCCCCGCGTTGATAAAATCGTGTAAAGTAACGAAAGAACCATTGGCCATTGGACGCCGTATGCACCTCCCAGGATTACGCATGTGTTATGCCACTCTACCGTTCTACAGAACCTCAAATTGATGAAGGTCATCTATAAGTAATCAATAGGCGATCGTCTAGGTTAGATATCAGTGGACAAAGAGGGGAGCAAGGCAGGAGGGGTTCATCCTATATTTCTCTCTCTTTATTCCATTTACTTTGGAAAATCCACGGCTTACAGTCAAGGGTTACTCTAAAAAAAATCGGCGATATGGAAACCCCAAAGATACCGGCTCCGAGAGACGAAGGTGAAAGGGAGGTCCTCGAAAAGCTAATTGCCATTCGCGACCAGTTGCAATTACGCAAACTCGACCGCACGACCTACGTTCGGACCCAAGATGTCATGATTTTATATGACCAGACCATTGAGCAGGTCAGAATCCTGAACGAGGTTAGACATGGGAAGTCGGTCGAAGAGAATAGAGGTACGACGGCATTATAAATTGAGCAATCCTAGCTACCCGATCAGCTGTCTTATTGAGCTATCGTAACTAATTCATACCCTGCCTTATATAGTGGACAGAGTGGTAGACAGCTGTTTCCAATTACTATCACTCTTTTTCATGACTATCGGTCGAAACAATGAAGCCCCTGCCGCCTATGCCCTGACTTCGACTATCAAGCGACTCCTAGACCATCTGGCCGAAGCCAACTTATTCTCTGCTCGGGATCTCGAGAGTATGTCCCAGACGCTTGTGCATCTATCGGAAATAGCACACAACTCCGCCAGCACGAAGCCTTCGCCTTTACTTGAGACCTTGATTGTGCACCGGATAGAGCGATGCCGCGCATCGTTAACAAGCCTACAGAAAAGGATCGAGGACATTGCAGAGCCATTACGGCCGACCGCGGACAGACTCGTCTCTATAATGAGACAGATGGCTATAATCAATACCAAATCAAAGGTAAATACTATCCCGTCTGAGTCTTCTTTCTTCTTTTCAGCGCAACATTATCCTCTGCTAATAATTCTGTTTAGTTCACACCGTCGGAAATATATAAGCGAGAGGCGGAGCTGAAAGAGATTGGCGAGACACGGAAGGACGGGCAATTCCTCGACGCTGATGGTAATGTTTTAAAAGGTAGCGAAAACGTCTCGCTGTTGATAGATCGATGTTTAGACTATACGAAAATCGTCCTCGAAGGGTGTGTTGTCCAGCCGCATCTACTCGGGTATATTCACTAACGCTATGTCCAGAAACGGCCAATTTCCTGACAAGTGGAAGCCAGTTTACGATGTACTCGTTGGCATTAGAAATGACCTTGATAAGCTGTCTTTGACTCAAGCGTGGTCACTGCGAGAGACGGACTTGTACGACTACCAACGACAACTCGACAGGATCGATGAGAGCAGAATAAATGGAAATTGGGTGGACGATCAAGGGCAACCAGCTGAACTCTATGTCCAACGGGTGCGTTTTCATTCCAGTAGTTATAAATATAATTTTTGGCTAACGATATTTTAGACGCTTCTTTACTTAATTCGAAGGAGCTACGGTTATATCTATCATCTTATGATATCGTCAGAGCCGGTTTCTGAAGCCCTGTTGCCGATTTACAATCAACTGCAGACGTTAAAGCGTTGTCTCGTCGAGGTAAAGAACAGCGGTGGCGTAACATCGGTTAGGGAGCTTTACCCTTATAGCATGAAGCTACATTCGATCGACAATATGAAAATTGACGGCAAATTCATGGTCGGGGAAGATATTCCCGAAGGTCAAGGCAGTGTAGCTGAATTGCTGGCCGAATGCTTCGACCTGAACTACGAGCTCAGAGTAGCAGCAGAGGCAGCGACAGAAACCCCTCCATCAGAGCAGGAGTCATGAAGTGTTTATATTCAGAGTTTGCGATGCAATTATAGAGTGGTGGTTCATCTCATCTGGCTCGGCTAATGTATTCTTTAATCTTGCTTTGTAATTATTAACTTCTGGAGACGAGGCCAATGCCGCACTTTTTACTACAAGCAAGATACGTGCAAGTAACGGGTATAGGCCTACAATGAATGTAGCCATCAACATTCTAAATATCGACATGAATTGAATATATCATAGAAGACTTCAATGTTTATAATGCGTCTAGTCTAAACATTCGGAATCTGAAAATCAGGGGAACCTGAACGCATACTTGGCCTAAGAAAGTTGTTTAGTATCGTTAAAGGAGTTAGATAGATGTATGGCATATGAGCTTACCGCTAATATTAGAGCCTGGAGTTGACTGTTAGCCGTCTTCTGTGTCCAGTGTTTGCAAGAATCAACATACCTTCTCGGTATCCCACACTCCCGTCCTGGTATATATGTCTTTCTCAAGGATAGCCCTAACTTCTTCCTTCGACTCGGCAATAAGCACTATTGTGCTGCCGTACCAGTCGAACGTAGCGGGGTCCTCGCTTTCGGGCTTGTCGTTCAAGACAGCGCCTTGAGGAAATATTACTTGAATACGCCAAGAAGCATTGAAGACTCGGGGATCATACCTCCAGTCTTGAACTGCTTGGACTCGACGTACGGCTTCAGGCCTTCGAAGTGTTGGCTGGAAAATGGGATTCACGTGTAAGCCCCAAAATAGTTAGTTGGTGGTGATGGTGGTGGTGGTGGTGTATTGGGCCAGACTCACGCGCGCACTTCCAGCCTCTTCTCTCGGGTTCCCGGCTTGTCGGGCACAACTACAAGCCATTCGCATTTGCCCGGCGGCGGAGCCGTAATAGACGCCATTTGGATCTGGACGGGGCTACGGAATAATCTAGGGATGGTGGTTACGGTGGTGGGTTGGACTCGGACTAGCGCTGGCTGGAAGAGTCGAGGAAGCGATCGGAAGCGAAAAGCCATATGGGAAAGAAAAGGGGGGTAGAGGGTTATATCCAACAGGCTGACTTAGAGACTACCTATATACTTCTTTATTACTTACCGTATGTCTTCAGTTGGGCCGGTGTCGTGCTCGATAGTTGAGCTATCTACCGGCATTTTGAACCCCGAGGTAGCGACAATAGGTGGCAGTTGAAGGGCGTACGACGTGTGGAGTAACGATGAGTAGGCACATGTAATGTAGGTATGTAGTAACTACATAGATAAGATACATGGTGATTTATAAGAGTTGACATATAAAAGAGAGGTACCGTGCTAGATCTAGGTATACTATTGCCCAAGAAGATCTAGTCTTGTGTAACATAATCGGCAAATTCATGCATGTGCCGTCACCGGCGAACCCGCCCCTCCTGCCAGTCGTTTTATTATTAATGTTCTTCCCCCGCTACATAAACTTAGGTACATACCTAGGTAAGGTTGTACATAATGGTTGGACAATGCAATTATTACATAGGTACGGCACAGCTTCTTTCCGAATTCATCATTGGTCTTCCCCAGCCAACCAGCTAGCTGGGAAGTTCGTGGTATGTGCATACATACATACAAGGGAGCCTCCCTTGCTAGCCTCCATCTCGTGTGCACATTCCTTATTCTATCTCCCGTACAGTCATATATACCTACCTATGTACCTACTATGGAAGCACACACGACTAGACAGGCCACGAGACTCATCGCGGGCGGCTGAAAAAAATTCCTCTTTTTACCGCTTCTCCCTTGGCCTTCCGGCCTTCTTTCGCCTCGTTCCATTATTTCGCTCCTAGCTCGGAAATGAGTCAATATCGCCCGGTTTCTGTTCGAATGAGGTCGCCTCATTATCGTCTACGACGCCGTTCGGTTCGGTTCGTTTGTGCTACACACATATGTACTATTTACATACTATTAGTCTAGGCGTTTGCTTTTTTAGTATTATTGCTATCAAAAATCCAAATGCTCAATGGCTGGCCAAGTTGCCAAGACGATGATCTAGGATCTCGCCTAAGTGGGGGAAGAACGCCCTCTCGTTATGAGGTAGGCGGGATCATATGTCAGAGCTTGGGGTTATCATCGGCGTTGCAAATGTGTCGTCATGGCTAGTTCTCCATAGCCCACCCCAGGCCACCATGCCACCATGGCAGCGTGGCAGCGTGGTCCCTGGAAATGCCATAACGTTCGGTCTTCGGCGGTCTGGATACCCCTAACAAGCCGCGCCAGGGTGCAACCCTCCAAAACTTCTCCAGGTATCATGACCTGCTATTAGTAGAATCCGGGGAGCCTCGGCAGGTTCGTGAGCTATTTTGTTTAGCTTTTAAGTCTGACCCAATTCCCTTCTTGAAGGGGGTTGCACGTTAGAGAGACACATGTTCCCATGTTCCCATGTTAAATCATCACAACTCATCTAACCTAGTCTTTATCTATCAACATACCTATCAACATACCTACCTAACTAATAAGTAATTGCTCCTACGCTTAACTACTTGGAAGCCAATTCATACTTTTACACATCCATACGTCACAATATTAGCTTGCCATAGCTCCATATGAGCGTCATGCTATCCCTACATCTTCAAAGAGAATCCCAGAGGTGGGCAGCTCAACGCCAGAGCTACCCCGCACCCCTCTCCTTCGACGGCTCAAGCAGCTACGAGGACAGCGACTGCGAATCAGTCTTCTCTAGCAGCAGCAGCAACAGATCGGGGTGGTCTTCTGTCTCGAGCGAGGCACCCGACGACGAGCCGCCGCCGGCAGCCTTCGAGCAGCCCCGAGACTCCAACGGAGCCCCTATCACCATTTACACATCCCTAGAGCAAGCAGTAGCCCAGAGCACACAGATAGCCGAGGCGCAAGGTCCCAGGCGGCTAGTCACACCAGGCAAACTATACGAGAACGAGGAGGACGACGATGAGATCATCGAGTGGGCGGAGGAGAAGGACGGCAGCGTTATCCCCGTGAGCTGAAGGAAGGAGGGGCAGGGGAAAAAAAAAATAGCAAAACGCCAAGCTCGAGGTGTTTTACAAGAGAAATTATACTGCGACAGCATACATCTTGGCGCAGGCTTGGGATTCTTGGGATTCTTGGGTTTTTATATTTTTATCCATCCAGGCATGATGACCCAAAGGGAGAACGGCGTTAGGAGGTCTGCAGCCGACAATATGCAAAAGCGGGCAACGCAAAGCCATACAAGTTCGGAACGGGCTGCAATTGTTTTTGTTTTAAATTGAGGACGGAATGAGTTATTAAGATACCCCCAAATATAATAAAAAGACTATCTCGTCTCTAATATAGCGTTTAATTGGCATTGACCTACATTTGACCTACATTGCATCTTGGTGAATTTATATTTATCCCTTCGCCCTCTGTCGCAGTATATATATGTAACACCCCTTATCCCCGTTCATCCGCTCATCCGCTCATCCGCACATCAAGGCTTATGTTTAATCTCGTGTTACATAGCTATAATAAAAGCAAACGTCATTCTGTTACTGAGATTATAGCTTCGCCTTGGGAGATTCCTGCTTCTGCATTGTCTCAGCCACGATGCGTCTCTGGATCTTCCCTGTTGCTGTCTTGGGCATGACCTCGGTAAAGTAGATCTATCATAGTTGATTAGCCTCTCTTTGTGGCATGACTACCTACCTATCAGAAGTACTAGAACGAACTCACCTTCTTGGGCACCTTGAACTTGGCCAATTTCTCGTTAACCCAGGCTCTCAATTCGTCCTGTTCAAGCTTGGCCCCGCTCTTGAGTACAATTGCGACACCGATATCCTGGCCGTACAACTCATCAGGGATGGCAAAGCTTACGGCCTCCGAGACAGACGGGTGTCTCGTTAGCACGTTATCCAACTCAATTGGGCTAATCTTTTCGCCGCCTTTGTTGATGAGCTCCTTGATACGGCCAGTAATGATGATATATCCGTCCTCGTCCTTCTTGCCTTGGTCGCCGGTGCGGAAGAAGCCGCCTTTGGCGAACGCTGTTGCGTTGGCGGTTGGATTATTCAAATAGCCTTTGGTCACGTTCTCGCCCCGGATACAGATCTCGCCCTCGGTGCCTTGAGGTACCTCATCGCCAGCGTCGTTGAGAATTTTGACTTCTACACCCTGACCTAGCCCCACCGTGCCAGGCTTTCGCTTCGCCGGGGGTAAGGGGTTAGATGTCATTTGGTGTGCAGCTTCTGTCATGGCATACGCTTCCAAGACAGGCGCCTTGAATTTCTCCTCCAGCTGATGAAACACTGTCGGTGATAGAGGCGAGGAGCAAGACCGGATGAAGCGAATCTTAGGCAGAGGACTTGGAGCAGAGTTCCTGAGGAGGATCTGATGTATCGTCGGTACGGCAGTATACCAGTTCGCCCCGTAGGTAACAAAATCTTGCCAAAAGTCCGAAGCCGAGAATTTAGTTGGCACAATCATGGAGCCCCCAGAGTACAGAGGAGCTAGAAGAGCACAGAGAAGACCGTGAACATGGAACAGCGGCATAACTAGCATTGTCCGGTCTTGCGCAGTAAGCTGATACGTCGACTGAATATTCTCTACGGTGACTATTAGCACCGCACTGCTTGACCTAGATTATTGACTCACTCATGGTTCGTGTCAAGTTGCGATGCGTCAATGGAACCTGGCTAACAAGTTAGAGAGCAGACGCAGAAGCAGACGCAGAGAATGCGCCGGGTTGATCAACAACGTACAACTTTAGGCCTCGACGTCGTGCCACTATAGCAACATGTTAATATTCATGTCGACACCGCATCGTATTTAAATCTCCGAAGACTTGCCTTGTGTGTAAGACTAATGCGACATCATCTGGTTGTGACCGCAGCACGTTCTCTTTGGCCTTCCCCTTCAACTGGCCGAAATCTTTAACATCTAAAGCCACCTCATTCTTCGCATTGTCCCAGTAGCACTCGGCGATTGCGGCATTGAACTTGCGCGCAGCCTTGACGGAGGGCGCATTGGCTTCATATGCGCCCTTAGGAACAAGCACGATAGCAGACTTAATGTCTTCGATGTAAAACTCGAACTCGGTCTGCTTATAGGCCGGGTTTAAAGGCGCGGCGATACCGCGCTGCCATGAGGTGGCAAGGAACGAGACGATGAACTCGTATGAGTTCGCCGTCGCTATCGATACCGGAGAACGGTTGGTGATTCCGATGGCGGCAAGCTTGCATTGGAAGGAAGAGCATTCGGCTATGAGGTCTTTGTACGTTACCGTCAATGGCTTCGGTTTCGAGGGTATTATGATGGCGACGGACGAGTCTACGCCATTGATGGAATTCTGCAGGGTGGCCATGTCGAGGTTCTATCTATCTATCTATCTAGGTAGGTAGGTAGGTAGGTAGGTAGGTAGGTAGGTAGGTAGGTAGGTAGGTAGGTAGTTAACTGATATAAACTGCAAGGTCGTCTGTGGTCGGGATAGTTATTGTATTCAATTGCTAGAGACAGTCTATGTCCATGTATGATACAAAGAAACAAGGCGATGCTAGAAAAATAAAAATGGATAAAAGCAGAGGAGAAAGTAGAATCACGTCGTAATAGGAGAAAAAAAGCTGTCCAGCGTTGTAAGTGCGAAACATACGATAAGCATTGACAGTGCAAGTTTGAGGTTCTTGCCGTTACGTATTGTACAATACATCTAGGTAATCGTTGCTGCCGTCTCAACCGTTCTCCAGTACTAACAGTACCCAGGTACCTATAGCTTCCTCTATCCAATTAGTGCCGATGACCTGATAATTAGTGGGCATGGCGATATGAAACCCCTGTAAATTTAGAGAGCTTCTAGCGTTAACTTCACATTAGCTTAGGTACAATACCTAAGGTACCGTACCTACCTACCTATACGTAAACTTATCAACTTACATTTCATAACTCACTTTTTCAACCTCGTGAAATAGGCTGAGGGGCATACTTAGTTGTCTGAGTTTACTTATTGCTAAACAGGTCGCACACTTAGTAGTCTCTCTGAATAAGCTTCATATTTAACCTAAGGAGTTACCGCCAAAGCCACAGACATGGCTGCTCAACAGCCGCGGGCAGGCCTATCCTTATACGCCAACCTTCTCGAGCCCGAAGGCGACTCATCCGCTTCCATATCCCGAGGTCCGGTAGTATCGCAAGAAGCGCTCGATGCCGTGAAAGAGCAAGAAGCTTCCAAGAAGACTATCGACCCTGCTCTTCGCTTTCAGCCACATCCACAGATTCGCCGCCCCCAACCGAAAGCCCAGAGGCCTAAAGCCAGCTTCCCAAAAGCGCCACCTCTTCCCAATGCCTCCAATGTCGCTGGCGCTGGCGCTGTCGCAGCTCTGGCTCCAGCGAAGAGTAGGCTAGCCGATTGGGTGCCTACTGAAGAAGACGAGTATATGTACGCGACCGTCGAGAGGAGAGCACGAGGTGGACGTAAGAAGAAAAAGAAGAAGACTGAGGATGTGCCTATCGAGACGGACTGGGATGAGATATATGACCCTTCGAGACCTACAAATGTAGACGAGTACCTACGAAGCGAGGAGCGGGTACGTGAGGTACGAGAATGGAAAGACCTGCTTTATAAACATAAGCGGCGCGACGATGATGACAATGAGAGACGTGGTAGCTGGGATAGCGAAGAGGAAGACTCAGCGCCAATGCAAAGTGAGTTGACGCGCCTGATATATCTTTGCGATCGCAGCCTGCTAATATATATAACTTCGATAGATCAATTCGCGCCGCCAGATTCTTACTCTTTCGCGCCGCCGCCGCCATCACCCCCGCGGGCTTCGTTGCCAGACGACAAGACTGGCGACGATGCCTATGCGCGCCGGTTAGCTATGTCCCAAGGCAACATACCTCCGCCTCCGCGCTCGCCAACACCGCCGCCGCCTCCACCATCAATACCTCTTGAGCCAGAGGACGCAACGATATCCCGCGCGCCAGTGCGTTACACACAACCGGAACCACCTGCGCCGCCTGACCCAGACGCCATGGACGAAGACGAGGATGAATACGTCCCTCCCGAACCCAGCTCTGAAGAAGCTCCCGAACAGCGTGGCGGTCGATCTCGTGAGAAAGGCTTCGCCGCACGACTCATGGCTAAGTATGGGTGGTCTAAAGGTCAAGGTCTAGGTGCTGAGTCCAGCGGTATCTTACAACCGTTGCGCGTCGAGGTAGAGAAGCGGAAAAAGAAGTCAGACGCAGAAGGTGGCGGATGGGTCGGTCCTGGCGGACGCGGGCGCATCATCGGCTCCAAAACTGGCGCAGCATCCCAACCTGAGAGTAGCATCGGTTCCATGAGTAACGTCGTTGTTCTGCGGAATATGTTAGAGGGCATGGAAGATCTTCAGGCCGAAATAGAGTCTGGGTTAGGACAAGAAATCGGCGAGGAGTGCGGTGATAAGTACGGGCGCGTCGAGAGGCTGTACATTGATATCGAGGGCCGGCGAGTATATATCAAGTTCACCGACCAAGTCTCCGCCTTAAGGGTAAGTCACTTATCCCCTTCCACTTGGAACATCTATCCCATCCCATTTTCTACCGAGATACAACATCCTCTACTTATCGAAGATCGGGGTTTGCTAACAGTAGTAACCACCCTACAGGCAGTAAATGCTTTAGACGGCCGCATATTCGCCGGCAACACCATCCAGCCTCAGTTCTACGACGTGGATAAATTCGAACAGAAGATCTACGAATAATCATTTTCAGAATATGAAATCTCCCAATGGAGTGTTAGAGACGCTGAAAGGGGGCTCTAGAACCCGTATTGGCTAACTAGAAAGCTACCGCAATAGTGTTCAGGCAATGGTATCTAAAGATTGCAAGCTTGATGTTATGTAAATCAGACTAACGTTGCTCTTCGTGATAAAAGTAATGGTCGAAATCCAATCGTAGGTGTAAAATATGTAACTGGATGGGCATGGATAGACATAATTATCAAGTTAAGTATAATAAGACGGCTCTAGGAACCAACACCAAGGGAGCAAGATCAAACAATATCCAAAATACTGGAATTATTTAACTATTAAATATGTACTTATGGTAAATCGTAGCTTCGTATTACGTACGGTATAGTATGAAGCATTCGGATAATGGGAACTCATACTGCTTTAAGACCAAGAGTAGGACAATACCGTTATTCAGACCACAGTACACTCATTATGCAGCCGTGATAAAGGCACTCGGTATAATCGAGAATATTAACGTCCTGCATAATAATACAAGACGGCAAGCAGAGGAAAATAACAGATAAATTCACCAGGGTATTTACAAACCCGCTCACAAAACCATATCACAATTTGACAACGAAACCATCTTCCAAGTAGCACATGAATCAATATTAAGTCTAGCGGTTCCTTATACGTAACCCCAGTTGCAAATTGCAACTCCTCAAATCACAACAGGTTTTTTGACACTTGAAAAAAGAATGTTGGGTATGCCGCCATGTTCCGCCCCAAAACGTCCATTTATTACAAGAAAGCAGCGATAGCGCCGCTAAGAGCAACCAAGGCAGCAAGACTGGTAGAGACGACATTGGAGGAGGCCGCGCTTTTCTTGTCATCCGTGCTGTCGGAGCTATCGCTGGAGGCGGAAGAAGTATCGTTGTTAGCATCGGCAACCTTGCCCTTGCATTCATAGTGACCCTGAACGACACCACCGTCGAGGCTCTTCAAATCGCTGCAGGAGTCGTCGATGTCCTCAGTGCTGACAACTTCAAAGGCACCCTTCACATCCTTGAGGCCAGGGAGCTCGACTTGAGTGAAAGAACCTCGAACCTTAACGGCACCGCCAATTTCGTTTAGCTGGCTGAAGCCATCCAGCTTCTCCAATGCCGTGTTGTTGGCGACAGTGAAACCACCACCGATGCGCTTTAAAGAAGGAATTGTGATGTTGGTGAGTTGGGGGTTGCTAACAAAGGACAAATCACCGTCCTGGATTTCAGTCAGGTTGGCGGCGTTGAAAGTCTCGAAGTAGTTGGAGTCAAAACGCATGGAACCGTTAACAGTGTGCAGAGAAGGAACCGAGAAGGAGGTAACGTTGGCAATGGTCATGTTGGCGATCCACTCCAAGTTAGGCATCTCCATGGTGAGGTTAAGACCGTTAGCAGTGACGTATAGAGTGTTGCTCAAGCTCTTGATGCTGGAAGAGAACTTGGTCAATCGTCGGTTGTTGTTGATGTTCATATCAGTAAGAGATTGGACGTTGATGCCGTTGATGCTCTCAATGAAGGTATCAGCAATAACAACACTCTTCGCCTTTGTAATACCGACGGTTCCGAAAGTAGGCTCAGGCAACGAGTTCAGAGTGGACCAGTCAATGGAGCCAACCTCGTTAAGCTTCGGGAAGTTGAGGGTAGAGATGTGGGTAGCGTTCTTGAGAGCGAAGACACCTCCAATGGTTACCAAAGAATCACTCCTCAAAGTAGCCAAAAGACCGTTGTTCTCGGCCCTGAGATCACCACTAATCTCCGTGAGCTTTCCACCAATGTCGATATCGGGTCCAGCATTCCTGTCGATAATAACATCACCGTCGACTGTCTCACAGTTGGAGATTTGGGTGGCATCAGCAGCTGATCGAATTGTCGCAGTCGGGCCATCACAGCCTACACCAACAGCACCTAATTATTCTTATTAGAGAAGAGAACCGATTTGGAGCGCAACACATGACTCACCAGACACCATGCTGAGCGCCGCGGCGGCAGCTAATAATTGCTTGCAGAACATTTTGTTGGCTATTCAGAAAATTGTTAGTTATGGTTGGACGACGTAATTTCAAAATGTAGGGTTAGACAGAAAACATGTTCAAGAATCAATTATCCGGACTTAAATAGTCGAAATCGTTCGCTGCTCGAATTATATCCAAGTCACAGCCTGACAAAGCTCGACTGTGAAATGACGGGAAACGCGTAGTTCATCCACTTGTCGCGGATTCATCAACGCTCGACCTAGTGCACTTGGTGAATCCGGCCTGGAGTAAATGGTGCAATTGACCAGGCAATAATCGTCCAAACTCTCGCTGGTCCCAGGCACACGAATTTCGGCCTAATTCATCTTCGCCATTGCAATCTGACAATTTGGGTCGACGGCCATAAGCTTGCCGATAAGGTAAAGTATGTCGTTCTAGTTCCCGTTGCCATGCGACGCCCACTCGAAAAGCGGACCAGCACCCGACTGGACGGTACAAATTGTCTGCCGAAGAACACGACTTTGCGTCCAATCATACGCGTCATTCCAGCCAAAAGCCCAATTTATATGGCCGAGAAGTGTACTGCGACGTTCACGAAGGGGAATAATGCCAATTGAACAAGTTATCATAGGAGAAACAACTAACCTGATAGTATTCTCTTAAGATCCAATTTCCAGAAATCTTAAACTTCAGACTAATCTGAATGACCCCAAGCACCTCTCGACGCGGTATTGTTAGATATCGTGTTGCTGTTTTGATTGGCTACTGATGATAGAAAAAGTTGTGGTTGCGAGGTTGCGAGAAAATGCAGTTGAACTCTAAGGCGATAAGTATTAAAGTGAGGAAGCTATTGAGCGAGTGCTCTTCCTGTTCTACGATGGGAATATGGACAAAACGAATGAATCCGAATGAGAAGAAAGAGGAAGATGGGTAAAAAAGGAGTTGGAGGGAAAGTCAGAACAAGAAAAGGCCGAAACGTTTTGGAATTCTACTTTAGATGGATGGCGTGGCTCCTTGGGATGTAGGGGGTGTGGGAAGAGTAAGAGAAGGGGGATTGGGGGGGACTTTTAAGGGGTTGGAAGGTACAGTGCGCGTATTTGATAAGGTACTACCCAACCAGATCCAATAGTAGGGGATAAAAATGGGGGCATAGACTAGGGGATCTTCATCAATTTCAAGCAAAGCAAGCAAGCTCGGCAAGCCATGGTCTGTTGCCAGGCTTACAGGTTCAGTTGCTCCTGCTATCCTGGTATGAAAAAAAAAGCAGCCGGAGCTAATTCACCTGTAATCCGCCCATACTATGTACATACATACGTATAGCATATATGTAGGTAGGTACCTACCTAAGTCATGTACCTTAGGTAGATTAACTGATCAAAACAGAAAGGGCAGCCAAGACCTACCTATGCTCAAGCAACCACCTGCAAGTATATGCGTATCTTTCTTTAGGTGTTGCACAGCTAACTCCTTTTCAGCATGTCTTCGTATTTACATCGTCACTAATGCATGTCATTCTTTTTTCGCCCTATCAGCACACCCGTCTTTCATGCAATTGGAAGAAACAGCAAGAGACTAGAATGCCGGAACATACATAGCATCCGTACATAGGTACCTAGGTAGGTAGACAGATATGCGCATTGTAAAGAGGGAGCCAAGATAGCAAGGGTAGTACCGTATGAATCATAAACACGATGCTGTAATCTTCATATCAAGTCGAATGCTTGGCGAGATTGGCTCCTCATTTTCCATATGTAGACCCAGTTCGGCAAAAGCAAGGAATAGCTGCATGGTTTATTCCGTAGAGCATCCACCTCCATCAATTCATATCGCAATTTATATCGGGGGATAGGCACCTTAGCGTATCATACGTATGAGACTAATATAACTGTTGCCCGCCGGTCTGATCGGTGTCAATTTTTACCCACCACGCCATAGTTAGAATCCACTCTCACCTTGATCTGATTCTGGAATCGTTTCTATGTCGTTTCACGTAGTGCCATTTCCCAGATTTCATCATTTATTAATATGTAGTGTATAGAAGCGCGGAACTGGACAGCTGAAATTTATAGCCTAGGCCTCTACGTAATACCAAGACCAAGCTTGTTTTTACAGCAAGTCTTTACCCATTCATATAACGTAGTGTGCCAGTACATAGTCCGATGCTGATCTTAGACTGTGATAGACTGGGTTGACGCATACATACTTACCATAGCAACAATCTCCCGTGCAGCTTGCAGGTCTTGACTACGTACATTCACCGTAACCCCATGTCGATTACCCCAATCGTGGTGTGGTTATCGCTCACATGCGAGAGCTATGTTCTCAGGATAGATATGTAGGTAGGTATATATTCTGCTTGATGCAACTTCGGTAGGTCCGCGCGAAAGCCATAGGTACTTGAAAGCACAGAAAGATAAGTTTATCATTTGGTATACGTGCATTGACAGGCGGATGGGTTTTTTCGTTTGAGTCTTTTGTCGGTTCTGCGGCAGGAATCATGTCATGATTGGTTCCCATCGCTTTCAATTATGGAAGAATCTCGATTCAGAATTAAATCTTTAAGGAAGCTCCATCCTGTTCTGTTCCCAACCGCGGCACGGGCTCGGATGCACTGTATTTGAACCCATTAATAGATGCCACCTCCCTACCGATGTCTGCTGTACCATGTATATCTATAGCCCCACACCCCCTTTCCAGACCGTGTATGTATCAATTAAGCTTGGCTCATCCTATTTTGGTGGCGCATATCGTCCAGGCACATTATAGAAAGAGGCTTGTGGTGTAGCATGGCAATGCATCCGTAGTGGATGCTAAGAAGCTTAGCTTTATACGCTAAACATGTATCTATGTATTCATTATTCTATGTAATAATCAATCCATCTTTCCCTACTCCTTTGTTGCTTGGAACACGCTTTTCGCAGCCGAAACTGCTGGAATAACACAATCCCGTCCAAGCAAAAATCCATAAAAATGCAACCTCCATTCAAATATCGTCAGCGGCGCTGCTTACGCGTCACTTGGACCGCAACTTGACCTGTTGTTGCTTGAACACGAGGAAAAACACATGTATTTTTCTTTTCGTATTTTGAGTAGTCGAATAAAACTCCACCTCATCGTGGCAATTGTCGACCGACGCAATCCCATTCGTTCCTTGTACGCACGCCGCTGCGTCTCGGCCCTCTTGATACCACGGGTCTGCGACAAAATTGACAGCTAGCGGCGTCTTTTCCTTGTCCGGACTGCGTCATGGATTAGCATCACCACACCCCATCTCCACGATATATACCAACGGCAATCTCATTAGCGTAAATAAATAAAAATGAGGCTCGAGAACGTGCTTTACTCGTAACAATTTATATATGTTAGGCTTTTAACAATGCCAATAGCCGACTCATCAAATTACGAAGAGAGTATATTTATCGTCAAGTTAAAGTGGCATGAGTCAATAATTAACCGAAATTGATTTGAATGTTTAGAATATTTTGGAGCACAAGCAGCTACGCAGCAACCCCTTGACTAAGACTACGTGACATAGGTAACCTAGGTAGATAGATAACAAATGTATTTCAATAATATTTATCTTGAATTCAATACTAATCTTGTAAGACTTGATACATATTCTTAGCGAGATCTTGAAATTGAAGTTGTCTTTAAATTGCTAAGCCTCCTTTAGGTAACCCCGAGTATCGTACCACCTGTATGTATTACATGTATCCAATCTCATTGCAGCTACCTATGTAACCGAATTTATTTCTTTCGGTTTTCTTTCGGTAACGTGACCCCTATACGAGTTTGCATACAACATGAAATGGTGCTTACACGGCAACACGGCCTATAAAGATACAGTACATAGCTAGGTAGATATATTAACTGGTTAGGTTAGATGTCTCTATACATAATATTAATAATATTAATGGCAATAGCAACGACAATAGCTAATACACCAGTTCCATATAGAATGTAAGCGACTATAATCAGATAACTTGGCCACTAAATGCCATCGTTCAGGAAAAGTCTCACTACGTCCACTTTGCTTGGACCTGGACAATGAGCCCAACGGCCTTAAGATATACAGAGGCGCTTCTCCTTTCAAGTGACATACATAACATGGCTTAGGCATACCGGGATGGAGGTCATCGTCAGTCTTAAGCCAAGATTGCTCACGAAGACTTATTCTACCGCCCTTATAAGTGGACTTGGCGAACTCGTAATACGAAGGGTCGAAAACATACGGCTCGTGACTTTTAACGCCAAAGCCATCGAGCAAATTGAACGCCATTTCATGTGTCCACGGCACGATTGATTATTCAGATGAATTCACAGTCATGCGTCACGGTCGCACAGTCGAGGGCCAGGGACACGGTGCCAATCCAGTTATCATAATGCAGAATGCGGTATCTACGAAGGTTTGAGGCGTTATTGTGAAAGTTCCTTTCTGGCTCAATCGATAGGAATCTCGACTCCGCTCGGAAAAGGAGGTGGCCAAAAGTTTCATCTGTCCTATCTAGAGAAGAGGCAGTCAGGTCAACGGGCTGGATTTTGTCAAAAGAAAACCTGCTCAAAAATGTATCAAGCCAGTCCATAAGCCCATCGTCCGAAGAGGGGGTCTGGTCTATGGGCAGCTCAACCCCTTTTGCATTGCGAAACCTCAGATTCTCAAGTTTCGATACAAATATCCTCGGTCCGTGCCCTCACTGTGCATCAACTGCTTTTCTAGCCGGATTCCACATCTGGCCCGTCCATTCCACCCAACTAGGCGGTCCGTCGAGTCGCCGTGATGGCCCAGTTTGGGTGCCAAGGTAGACAATAGGGGAACTGCTTGGCCGGAAGTCCACAAAAGAATATGTCGTTCCAATATCGACCCAAGGACCGGAGCACCCCTGAAATGGTGGGAAGTTTATCCGAGATACACGTGAAGTTCCGCTTGGTGTATGTATTCCTGGACTGCGGTGTTGTACAGTTCCCAGCATGAACCTGCAAGGGAGTCGCCGGGCATGTCCCATTGATCGAGTTTATGCGTGTACTTACTCGGATGGTCTGCAATGTCATTAGGGACGCGTGTACCGATGGTACATGAGAAGAATAACTGGGCAGATGTGAATATTATAAGCTTCCAAGATAACATGAGTTCCTGGCACGTCCATCCCCTTGAGTTCTACAACGTATTATCAATAGACACCCGGAGAGGAGGCTCACTAGCTATATAACGGATTCCTCGAGCAAAATATCTAACTCGTGGAGTGTCATGGGAGCGCAAGCAAGTAAGGCCTCTGCTTGGATCGGTTTCGCTCGCCGCCGCCGCCGCCATAGTTAATATTACAACACTAAACCGCCCTATCTATTTATGATATTTATATATCCCTGTCTTTGCGATCGTCCTGGACGATGCAAAGAGAAATAACCCGGAGATACCGCTCACCCAACTGCTGACATATATATATATATCTATATGTGTGTGATTCTTGTAGGCCTTTCACATCGCTGATTTTCTGGAAAGATGCTTTGGTTGCCTGAATGAATTTAGTCTTATTAGCGTGATCCCATACACATGACAAGGCGATATAACGGCATCTCAGTGGCGCAAGGGTTACTTGTCGGTGTTTTACATCAATGACGCGGAGCTTCTGTGGCTATCGATCCGATAAAAGTAAGCTATCCGCCGCCTTGAAGAGTAAGTTGCGGGTCCTTTCGTAAGTATTCTCATGGTATCCGGCGTATTTCAAAACGGAATGTGTCAGAATTGGCGATGTGGCAGCTGTGACTGTCTTGCGGAGCGCATAGTTGGTTGTCTTGATGATAGTACGAAAGTCGTCGAGATGGATGCTTTGGTGCTGGATGTCGCCGTACTCCCGCAGCGGGCCGTCTAGCTCAATATCTCTACATCTAACACAGAGACTTCTCTTCCTCGGATACAGGCGGGCTTTTAAGGCTGAGAACCATTTGTGTCTTCAAACGACCTCGATATAGTATGCTGCTCGTGTTTTCAAACGCGATACAAGCTTGTCCAAGCTAACGGGGGTTGTTATGTCGAGCTCTGCCCTGAGTGTAAGTGGACATCAAACTACTTATACCCTTATTAATCGAGAAGATGCCTTCTTTTGGACCATAGCAAGTGTAATTCAAAACTCGTTGATGATTGGCAAATGTACAATATCGGTGTACTTGACCTAGAACCTTAGCCAGTCCGAATTCTAATTAATGTTTGCCTAGGTAAGTAGACCATCTTATTCTAATGTACTTATGTCAGTTTCCTCGACTCTCCACATATACCACTGCTGACTGTTAGCTAATGTAGACAAAGGAACTTCAGGGGTAGATTGAGAAACGGGCTTCTAATATGTGTCAAACCGACGTGCTCTCATACGTACCATGAAGACACTCCTATATGGAGTAAACTTTTCAGATATTTCTTGCATCTCCTTTTCTGACATATACTTCCATTTCCCGCCCTTATTTTTTAATTTGGCCACATCGCGTCCGACAAACGCAGCCATACCTCTCTGTACCCCTAGGTCGCCCAAAGAGAAGACATCTAACCTCTTCAGTCCGAAACAAGCGAACATCTCGACGGACCAACGGCCAAGCCCTCTCACCGCAGTTAGTTTCTCTAACACAACGTCGTACGGGGCATCCAGTAGGATTTGAGCGCTCAGCTCGCCGTTAATGAACTTCTCTGCTAGTCCTTGCACATACTCGGCCTTCCGTTGTGAAAGACCCGCTGTGCGCAGCCGCTCAATGGTGCAAGCTGCAACCTGGGACGGGTGCGGGAATCTACCGCCGTTGTCAAACAGGTCAATAAACCGTTGCTTGATTGCCCTGGCCGCTGCCCCTGAAACTTGTTGCGAAATAATGCCACTGCATAGAGACTCGAAGGGATCGATCTTCTCATTCAACCCCTCTTCTGAGAAAATTCGACAGTGATGCTTCTCAATTAGAGGTTTCATCCGCTCGTCAACGCTGATGAGGTACTTGCATGCCTCTTCGAGGAGATTGGTCGTCGTTACCTGACTGGCTGACGCCTTAGATGGAGATATGTGCCTAGTCACGACTCGAGATGTCTCCGGCGAGAGAAGCGTTGCATTGGTGGCGTTTGGATCTGCTAGTCGCCTTACAGCTGCTGCTTTCGGTTTTGGTGTCTCGAACGTCTCGGCCGGCTTGCTCATGAGCAGCACGTTACTCGGAGTAGGCGTTGCGGGTGGGGGATCAACGGATTTCTTTTGAACACGACGCTTCTTGGGAGTTGTGGGCGCCGCTGCTGTTGTGCTTTTATCTACGGTTACGTTCGAGTTATGCTCTTGTGATGGATCTGACGTTGCTTTCCTCTTACGGCCCTTAGGTATTGGGGCAGAGGGAAGAATTGATTTTGAGTCTGAGGTTGTCGACATGGCGCTCAATCGCGTAGACCTACGGGTCGCCATATTCACTATTTGGTAATTATGTGATAAGTTCTGTCGTAGTAAGGGTGTAAACAAATATTTCCTGAAGCTACTGTGATATAAATGGCGTCTCTGTGCTGCAAAATATGTGAATGCGAATATCTGCGCTGACCTCACGATTGGCTTGCACAGATAGAAATGGGATTTTAAAACGATATTTTGGTAACTTCGAGGAGGCATGTGCAGTTTACGGAAGGAAGGCTTCACGGCGAAGTACGAGTCAGTAAGATGAGATCTGCAGCAATTAGTTATTCGATTAGTTGTTTAAGTGAGGATCATCGACTTGATTGCCGACTGCATAAAATAGAGAATAATTATAATTGAATGTTCTTAAGTCATTCTTTCGCATAAACTGGGAAATATAGAATATATATAATTACAGATTAAGTAAGGAATAAAGCATAACTCATCGGAACTTCTGATATGAAGTATGACTACCTAGGTACATGAAGTTTAACTTGCGCCTTTGCTTTGTCATCTGGAAGTAAGAGAAAACATGTCAGAGCCAATGAAAATAATTCGTCTCTGACTCATGTCAATAATAATCCCCACACGTGGTGGTGGTTGCCTATTATGTATGTAGCCCTGGTCTTTAGGTGAGATGGTTGTTTACCTCCTGGGGTTGTCGAGTCTTTATGTATTTAAGAAGTTAACCCTCGATCTCAAAGAGCCAGATCACCTATCCATTCTGTCGGTTCCGCAACCACACTTAGACTAATGATTGGCGTTGGACATATGCTGTTGGCGTAAATCTCGAAAGCCTGTTTCTTACAGGCCCAGTCTTAGCGCTGGGCCACGGATAGAATTCTCCTATGCAACTTACCGTTTCCCATGTCGCCTACCTACTATTTACGAGTATCGAACACAGACAAATAAAGGCAATTTAAGGAATCTAGCAAACCTATCTCGGTTGTTTGCTGAAAATGGTTAGCGAATTCAAAAAGGGTACGCTGTAGTGTACATATATAGTAGGTAAATAGCAATGTAATCTCTTACCCCTAAATTTTTGATGCAGTCTGAGCACGCACCAAATCCGTATAATAATAGAAACAAAGAATGTTGAAATACATGTATACTTGCCACTACGTATACAGAATTCATACACAAACGTTTATAAGGTGGTTTTTAATATCAAGTAATTGTTTAACTACCTGGTAGGTAAGTAGGTACATTAGGCATTTAACAAAATGTTGAAATTGTTAAGGAATATTATTATATTGCACTACCAAGTTATAGGTTAGGTATGTTATTGCCTCAAATATTATACTTATAGTTCCCGTGAAATCCTACTCCTGCATGTCTGCCTTCTACACCCATTCCCTCTTGGTACATGCATACATGCACTACTTGAAAACTGGAGGTAGGTACATCCAATACGTAGTTTACGCAATAGAGGTACATCATCAATATGTACCTAACGTACATATGCATTCTCGTTCTCCACTCCTACCTAAACCATAAGCCCCCGTAGTTGTGTTGCGTGCATCTCAAGCCGCCAGTGGTTCCAGGCCAGTTACGTTTCGTGTCAACTAAACCTACCAAAACCTACCAAAACCTACCACTGCGTGACCATCCCCATCTTGACTTTTTTCAACATAACCGGTTCGTCCAATTTGGAACCTGCCGCGCCAATTCATTTCATTAATCTTTGGTGCCGATTTTCATATATTCGCAATCAAGAGACAACCGCGATAGCGTAAGGCCGACCTTCTTATCTGCGATTTCGAGATTCATCTAATTATTACACTCGTTGATCCTGTAGATTTTCGTTGCCTAACCGCCCTTCTTACCATTGTGTTATCCCTTCCGAACCCTGGTACCCCGAACGAGGCCGGCCCCAGAAACGAGCAAGAGCCTGCCTCCCATTCGCATTTGACTTTCAACTCTCCCTTCATCCGCTTGTTATCGCGCAAAGTTAGGGTGGTGCTAAGGGCCGCCCGAAGAGCTCGTTTGCCATGCTTCTTCCTAAAGGTGGCATTACTTGGAAGTCTGCAAGGGCACAACTTCCACGCACCAGAGCGATCTGGATCTTCTTAACAAGAACCCGCGTGCTCCTTTCTATCGCTGTCGCCGGCATCATTTTATTACTATGGCGCGGTATCAGAACCTCGGCAAGCGAGATGCAAAGGTATCATTCCATTTCATAATACTCATTCTAACCCTACATCTTACTGACATGCCTGGCCTTTCTACAGCTTCTACTGCTGGGGACCTTCAAAACCACCAATGGATATGACACTCAACGAACAACAGGCGTGGAACGCTCACCTACAAACTCCTGTTATATTTAATCACCATGCTCCGATTACCATCAACGAGTCGTCGATAACACATGTCAACCTCAATGGAATTAGGTCTACGCGCCAAGCTATCGACAACAACGAACGAGTACTCCTACTCACACCCCTTAAGGATGCCGCGCCGTACCTCTCAAAATACTTTGAACTTATTGCTGAGCTGTCGTATCCTCATCGCCTTATCGACCTTGCGTTCCTCGTTGGGGACTCGACTGATGACACTCTAGGTGTGTTGGGTATGGAGCTTGATCGCATCCAGAAGCGCCCCGACAACATCCCGTTCAACAGCGTAATGGTTGTAGAAAAGAATTTCGGTAGTCAACTTAGCCAGTCTGTTGAGGATCGACATAGTTTTGAGGCTCAGGGTCCACGACGAAAGGCCATGGGTCGCGCTAGGAATTATTTGCTGTCTGCTGCATTGAAGCCAGAACATTCTTGGGTATATTGGCGCGATGTCGACATCGTAGATAGCCCTAAGAGGATCCTCGAGGACTTCATCGCTCACGATCGAGACATTCTAGTTCCCAGTATGATTTTCCCATCAGAAATTATATCCAAGGCCCTTCTACTAACATGATATAGACATTTGGTTCCACCGTTATGAAGGCACAGGGGATAACAAATACGATATTGAAGGCAGATGTAAGCATTCCTTTGGGGGTGATTTTAGTATTAAGACTAACGTTAAATGCAGTCGACTATAACTCTTGGATTGAGTCAGACAAAGCTCTGAAACTTGCCTCTAAACTAGATAAGAACATAGTTCTGGCAGAAGGTATGATTCTGTTCTAGAATTTTGACTCTAGTCACTAACACATTATCGCCTCGAAGGTTACAAGCAATATGACACGGGTAGAACATACATGGCGCGGATGGGCGATTGGCGAAACGACCCGGATGAGGAAATTGAGCTTGATGGTATCGGCGGCGTTAACATCCTGGTGAAGGCGGATGTTCATCGATCAGGTTTGTTCTCCACACCAATCAAGGAGACGAAGACTAATAGAGACTTGTATAGGTATCAACTTCCCATGCTACGCATTTGAAAATCAAGCCGAGACAGAGGGTTTCGCAAAGATGGCCAAAAGAGCAGGTTACGAAGTCATCGGTCTGCCTAATTATGTCGTCTGGCATATTGACACAGAAGAGAAGCCAGGGAACGCATAGACTAGCGGCACCCGGCTTTTTGGAAACGAAGCATTTTAGAATAATATTTCCTTATCTAACATACTCGCATTCCTTCAGTGTACCAAATTGGTCCGCCAATCTCGAGCATTCGACGTCCAGGCGAGACAGGGAACGTAATACTTGTACGAGCAACTCACGAAACACGCTACATTACTGCATCAAAATACCAGCACCGTCAGATACGTTGGGCAAAGAGGCGTTGGGAAGGGATAGGATAAATCGATCCTCGCGCCGTTTAGCTTTTTTCTTATTCTTTTCTCTGGCATAGCGTTCGAAAGGGGGAGTGGAAGTCCGGTAACTCATACTAACAAGCGCGCTTCAACCTTGAGAATCAACTCTCGCAGCTTTCATCACGCACTTCCCACCTCGACGTTCCGCGCCTCATATATATTGGTTGGTCGGTCGGTCGGTTGGATGGTTGGTCGAGCTGGTTGGACTTGTATGTTTGTCGTGCTTAGGAAAGGCCACGATGACATGTTATGACCGGGGCGTCTATGAGCTTTCTGTAATAGAATCTGGCTGTTCATATTGCCTCCAGACGGATCCTGGAGGCAGGCAAAGGCGCCGAAATGTGCGCATGTGGGACGTGTTGCACGGAGTTTTGTTGGCTAACTGCTGTTGTGACATCTCACTGGCAATATAGCTTGTACAGGGGTTTGAACCTCAGCCGTAGAGAACTACTGTTTTCAGGAGTCCGTAGGGTATCGAAAGCGCTGTTCAGCGGATAACCTAGCAAAACTAATATATGCAAAGTGTTGCATGTGTATGCCCTTATGCCAGTGTTTAATACGTAGACGTGTAACTCTCTGGTTGTTTAATACTACACACTAAGTAGGTTAGGTAGTTACCAGGTATTCATCAAACCTGGTGACTTTGTCAAGTAGACCTAGTATATAGACGTTATGCGCCACGGTTTATCGTCAAGGCTACACGTTAAATCCATAAAGTACCAAGAGTCAAAGATCGGAATTCGCTACACTCTTGGACTGTCATTGTACGGGTTGAGGGGAGACGAAAAGGTCTAGGTATATACAGGTATGATATCTTGGAACGTTCAATTCGTCGGTACAACCTGGACTCCTTTGCGGACAAGCTTGTCCAATCACTCTATTCTTCTCATTAACGCAGGTTTAATTGTACAATTTTGCCGTTCGACGCTATTTCTATTTAATGGTTTCGAACGATGGTCAGAGTGTCCAAGGCCTGCTTCTCCTTCTCCTCAGCGTAGATCTGGTCGATCAACGGTTGCAGGTACGGGACGTCCTATTCCACGCATTCTGTTAGCACGGGTGTTTTGAAGGGTATCGCATGGTTCTGTTCAAGCAGCGTCTCGGCTTACCTCCTCGGGCTTGGTCCACTCATCCTTGGGGAGCAGCTTGTGGACGGTGCTGGCCTGGAACGCACGGCGGAGTCGGTAGACACGGTCGTAAGCTTCTTTTGGCGGCAGGCGCTTCAATGCCTTGATGACGTTCTCGTCCTCCTCGACAATCAGATCATCGGCTCTGCAATGAAAGAAGTTAGTAATCCGAACTTATCAACCATTATGACCATCATCGGGCTCTCAATTGGGAGTATTTGCGTACCGAAGACCGAGTTGGCGGTACCCGGCGGCATTTGTGTACCAGCTTGCGATGGGCTTGAGCATGTTCTTCAGCCAAGGCCGCTTGACAATGAAGGGCGCGAGAGTCGCATAAGACGTAGCCATTGTGACGGTTGGCAGGTGTGTCTGGCGGTATGAGGAACTCCCGAGAATCGTGATGTATTTTGTCGTGAATTGAGGGCGTTAGCTTGATTATCGGATTTGATGTTCCAAAATGGCTCTCTCTCGATTGGACGAGTCACGTGATGCACCGCACCCTTGGGTAAGTGCTCCGGAACGGGGAACTTGGCCCTCGGATCCATTCGAACCTACCTAGATACTAGGTACCTAGGTACCTTAATTGTACCTCCCCTCTTCCACTCTTAATAGAAGAATGTACCAGGCCATAGAGCCTCCATCTTATGCTGTGTATCCCATCTGAAGACCTGGCGTCATCATACTAGTTATGTAGAATATCGGGACAAAGAAGTATTTGACTCAATGTGACCATACTCAGTACCATTAGTACTCGTTCTAATTTACTGTTGTATCTTTTTTCTAGTTATAGCATTAGCATCTTATGTTTAGTAGTCTAATCAGAGGTACATGTGTATGTACCCTTAAAGCTTAATCCATGCAGACCCCAATTGCCAATTGGAGGTCTAATACCTACATAAGATGTGCAATTGCGGGAATGAGCAAAGTACCTATAACCTATTTGTTACAAGCGAGGTACACGGAGATAGTTAAAGGCAATCGGATAGAATACCTACCTACCTACATACGTCAGAGGCAGCTTCAATTCCTTGCTGACAACATAAATGCTTACCTCTTACACATACGATTTAGTCCCTACCTCAGTAGGGGCTACTTTTACAGCACTTCTAATCTCAACAAAGCAAAGCACATCACTGAACTAGAGTCAACTAAAGTCACATCTATATAAATTACCGCAATCTTGTTGTGTTCCCTAGCTCGTTTATTTTTATTTTTTATTTTTTTACTTTTTATTTTTTATTCTCCCCTGGTCTAGCCTTTGTCCTTAACCTAGGTTGTTAGGTACCTAACTTACCTACATACATGCTATCGATACGATTGTCTTGTCTTGTCCACCTCATTCCCGCGCTAAAGTTGATGTAATCTACCTGTTCGTCGGGTAGACTCTTTCTCCTTCGATTTGATCCATATCTAATCCCAATCACGTTTGACGATTTAGAGCGACCTTAGCGACCCAGCGACCCAGCGACCCAGCGACCCAGCGACCCAGCGACCCAGCGACCCCAGCGACCCGCCAACCCGCTTAGCTTTTTCGCTCTAGTTAGGATAAGTCCGATCCTCTGCTTCGGACTTGATACATACATAGCAATTCGACTCAACAATTCTCCATCACCATCCCTTCGCACCCCCATTTTCTTCTTTCTATCGGCCGCTTTTACATACGCCTAGTCGAAGCTCTATCTCACTCGCTCGACGGGCGCTCTTACGAATGTCAATGGCATGTGATAGACGGTAGCTGCTGGGTCGACGGGACGGTGGATTTGCGAGGGTGCATTCCCCGCACACCGCACACCATCACGACTCTTCTAGGCCGGACTCGAGGCGAACCCATCTTTCGTCTAGTACGCCACACCTGTCTTCATTGCCGCTTTTCCAGGTCACGCCGCCCGCCTTAGACACGTTTTTGCTTACCGGGGCCTCTGAATCGCCTCCAGAGGCCCCGTCTCCGATTTCCGTCCTACTCGGACTCACCTACCGGACAAGGGCATGTCTCACGACGAAGCTCAAAGTAATTCGACGGGACCGTCGTCACACAATCCCGCAGAATATGGGGTTTTCTCCCATCGCTCCTCTCCGACATCTACTTCCACCGTTTCGTCGGCGAACACCCCTCACCAAGAAAACCAGGGCGCTTTGGCTTCCGCGGTAGCAGCGATGGAGTTGCACGATTCTACAGGTCTGGGTTTGGTAGAAAGATGGGCTGCGGGCGCGTCCGATGCTCAGTTTAATGCTTTGTCGGGAGCCATAGGCGGCTTCACTTCCGGCATCGTCACTTGCCCACTCGACGTTATTAAGACAAAGCTACAAGCTCAAGGAAGATTTATACCTGTAGACAAAGGAAGATATGTTGGGCACCATAGGGTCTATTCGGGTCTTGTGGGTACGGCGAATATCATATGGAGGGAAGAAGGTTTGCGCGGCATGTACAGAGGTTTAGGGCCTATCATTCTTGGCTACCTGCCGACTTGGGCTGTTTGGTTTACCGTTTACAACAAGAGCAAGGTTTTCATGGCTGACAATAAGCGTAAGTTGTTCTGCGCAGACCCAAAATGAAACCAACAACTGATTACTTCGTTCGTTCTATAGTGCAGAAAAATCAGTTCTTGATCAACTTCTGGTCTTCAATCATAGCAGGGGCTAGCAGCACGTTGGTAACGAACCCAATATGGGTAATTAAAACCCGACTTATGTCACAGTCTGCTACAGGATACAACAGACAATTATCCATGTTCCCGCGATCAGGCAACACGCCAACCTCCAGGCCAACTATCGACTCGCCCTGGCACTACCGTTCAACTCTCGACGCTGCGCGTAAAATGTACTCTTCCGAAGGTGTATTATCATTCTATTCTGGACTTACCCCAGCACTCCTAGGCTTAACGCACGTCGCTGTGCAATTTCCTGTTTACGAATTCTTACGGATGAAATTTACCGGTCAGGCCATGGGTGAAATGGGCGGTGACAGTCAGCAGAGTCACTGGTTTGGTGTGCTCTCTGCGTCGATATTATCCAAAATTATGGCTAGCTCGGCCACGTATCCGCACGAAGTGATTCGGACAAGACTGCAAACGCAGAGGCGGCCGACTCCTGGGAGTGAATATCTACAAGGCCTAGGGGTCTCGGAGTCTACACCCGGCAGTCGGAATCACATACCGAATAGTGAATGCAGTGTTTCCCCCGAACCTAAATATCGGGGCGTGGTTATGACATTTCGGACTATTCTACGAGAGGAAGGATGGAGAGCGTTCTACGCAGGCATGGGTGTCAATATGATGCGAGCTGTTCCAGCAGCAACGGTAACGATGATGACATACGAGTTCGTGATGAAGACATTACATCGCGTGCAGGTCGAAGGTCAGGAAAAGAAGAATTCGAATAAGGCGACGGTACGCGAACCATGAGTGATATTTAGACGATGCAAATCGGCATTTGCACATGTTAGGAAAAACATATTCTTACGCCGTGAGAATGTGAGGCTAGAAGGGCCGATTCTCATTGTGTTACAAGAGAAGAAAAGAAATATAGCTGGTTGGTACAAAAACTGGCTTCATGGGCCCGGGCGGTTTGGGGTTGGTCTAGATACGATACCCTTCTTTGTAGGTATAGATGCACCCAGATCACAATGCAAATAGTAAAGCAAGTACTACTCTACCAATTCTGGTTGCTGGTGTGGATGTTGAATCGACGGCTAAAGTATTCCTCATTTTAGTTCGTTCCATCAAATGAACCTGGCCTTCTGATAGCCCACAACGAACTCAACACTTGTTTGAAATTATATTCTTTCGATGTTAGTGAAAGAAATATAGGCACAAGTATATTTGCAGTAGTTGTTTAATTACCAAATAGGGGCCATATACAATAACATACTTGATAGTTGTCCTCGCTATCATCTCTCCAAATGCCCAGTCAACATATACTGGGAACTCGTTTTATCTTAAGCGAGTAGTACGACGAAGATATGTGTGTATGTGTGTGGAAGGGAGAGGAAAGATAGAAGATGGCTGTCGAACTGTGTATAGCAAAGCTGTCATGACCAATACGAGTTCCCCCTGGGATAAACTTGCCGTCGACTATGAAATAACCAGTGTTAGTTGTTTCTAATTTAGAGAAGATTAAACCTGTTGGGTTGGGTTGTGATGTTGTTACTTTGTAGTCTCCGTCTACCTCGTGGGAGCGTCCTGTAAGCGTAGTACTGGATCACAATTACTTATATCTCCTCCAGGAGGATCGACCTTTACGAGGAGGCTTGAGAAAGGAGTATTGATACGAAGGCCTTCATATATCACAGCCTTCAACCCACTACTATTAGAACGAGTAATCCGACCCCTTTTCTTTTTCTATATATATTCGTACCTGTAGATATTCTAGCTTCATCTATATCTTCTCGTTTAAAGCAAGCACGAAGCAACGATAGTAAGCTAAGCATAGTCCCACAAGTGGCTGAGATAGTCTTACTAGTATGTCTTGCCAGCACTTAACATCAGATCCAAAACGTTCCTCAGAGGTAACAACCTGGGCAATTCTTTATACGCCAGAATCGAGTTGGTTTCGAGGAGACTACCCAAACTTCTTATAAGTACTTATCCCGTCATTTTCTCTCTGACATTCTTATCCGTAGGTTTTGGCCCAAGTAAACTAAGAAAAGTCTTGCTTAAACACCAGCCCAGGGAGACAGGGAATGTCAAACAATGCCGACAAAGGGTTTACAGCAGTCTCCATAGACTCAACATGGCCATGCACATCCGAGCCCGTCCGTAATCAACTGCTTATCGACACTTGCTATTGGGATCTCCTTATTCCTATACCCGGACGACATTCGCGTCTTTATCTTAGTATGCTTAAAAACTTGCGAAGAAACCTCCTACCCGATAGCACACGGGGTGTTGTCTTCATGTGCCGTGTTAATCGATATATGATTAGGGAATACCTTGCAGGATGGCGTCGTGTATATAACTCTCTAGGTCGAGGAGTGACATGCTGGCAAGAATCTACTATCTAAAGGGCTTGAGCCACGCTTAAAAAGGAACAGATAATCTTCATATTCCCCAAGTAATATATCGCAGTCGTTCCCATGAGCTTAGCTCTACGCAGTGTAGAGCCTCCGTGGACTATGTACCATCCGTGGTGGATAAGTAATTCCTACATATGCGCCCCAATGCTACCTCTTCGGATTTAATATTTATATGATACTGCAGTATTTTATTGGCTCGATATTGCCAAAGGTCCCATCTGTCTTCTGCATGTGTTAGGGGTTCTGCTGGAGTTAAGACATGGGTCCTGGGAACTTATGGAGACAAGGCTACTGTGGTTTCAACCCACTCGTATTCAGATAGTTACTCTACGTATCGTAGAACTAATACTGGGTTATGACTCTTCATATCTATAGCAGATCATGGGATAAAACGATAAGTGAAATCGTGCCATCTCCTTATGAAAATGATAAGTGGGAGGTAGACCGCTTCTTTGCTTCCGCTTCTTTGCTCCCGCTTGTTTTCTACTCGTCTTCATGCCTACCTACCTAATGTATAAGCGAAATCATACTTTACCTAGTTTCGTAAAGCTCCCTTTACAACCCAAGCGAGGGCATAAAATATCCTCTACGTAAGAACCAGGTCGTTGAGTTAGAGCCACACGAGCACCGGTTCCTACTATGGCAATGGTATCACGAGATCCCTTCCAACTCACCGGCCGCTATGCTGAGCGTAGCAAATGGGAAGTAATCAACGGCCCAGGAGACT